TCACTGGTGTCGTAGCCAATCGGTCTAGTGGTAAAAAACAAGTCAACATCCATTGAGATCCCCCCCCCGAATGAATTGAACCAGGCAAAAGGGGTGTCATTTTTTTGAAAGGACTTACTTGACTGGTGGGCTTTCAGAACATACAGGACTTTCAATCATGGCGTGGTCACCCTCCGAATCTGTAATGGTTCTCTCAATTCGTTGTAAACAGCAGCCAAATGGCAATTGACACCTCAGGAATCTGCATTGGTTGCGGAATGACCAGAAGAAGAGGCTCTCCGGAGAGAAGGTGTTCGCGGTATGAGAAAGTCTTTTTCACCGGAAAGTTCGAAGCGATTCCCTACATGTGCAAGTCAACTCCCTTCGTTGTACCTAAGTTCGTTGCTGGAGTTGGTCATACCAAAGCACTATTCAATCTAATTTTGTTTTTTGGACCAGGTTTGCATCGGGTCAGACTGGACTTGGGGGGATTTAGTTCGAACCCGCTAACTCCTATATAGTTACAACTCTAGCCGAAGTTTGTTGCTGGATTTGGGTCTTTGGATAAAGTGCTCGCCTACTGGTTCGACTTCACTCATGTATACCGTATTAGTATATCTGGAAAGCCATGATGGGCTATGCTACCCCATGTACATGATCCTACCATCCAAGTGTCCTTTGCGCTTTTGAATTTTGAGACAACCGCGATCTATCTCGTCGACGTTCAAAGGGTCCTTATAGAAGCATCTTCATCTTTTTGCACCCAGCATGATGCCTGGTGGACATGTGCTTTCGAAGGACACCACTCATATAATACTCAATATCAAAAAAAGAACGGATGAACATGAATGAACTTTAAAAGGATAACCTAGGATCCAACTCCAACTTGGTCTAGTGCCAATCAACTTCAACACCTCCGCAAGCGACCCCAACGCATGTGCTAGTACTGGACTCCAGACTGCTGCTCCGACACAACATGTGAATCTGTCAATGACCCAAACACTTGGCGTAGAGTCGTAGAGGACTCAACTCACCAATTCCTCGGTTGCCCAATCACTATAGAACCATATCAGATCCAACAAAATACACTGGTACCTCGGACTCCAAAAGCCCCCAAGCCAGGCTGGGTCTACACCACGTGCCGTGCACCACGTGCAGAGTCCACATCTTGGGTAGGCGGACGCGCCGCGCGCCTCGCAGCCGTCCTCCACGCCGGGCCGGCGACACAGCACGCCGCCGCCGAAGAGGAAGCGCGCTCGCTGTGTCTGAGTTTGGCCGTTTGGACCGGTCGAGGAGGTCGGGGGACCGGTCGGAGGGGGAGGTCGCCTTAAGGTACTAAGGGCTCCCAAACAAACAGGTGGGGTCTGAAGAAGGAACCAGAGGCGTTTTCGGGGGTGAATTGGTCTGGATGTGATCTGTAGATGTGATCGATATACCCCAGACATTCCATTGTATGCCCCATATATGCGGTGGTTTGGGGGGGGTCAGTGTAGGCATATATGGCGTGTCTGGGTATACGAGCCTTGCTGTTCCAGGTGAAACCATGGCATATATCGTAGAAGCCAAGGATTGCAAACGCGTATCAAAAAGAGATCTTCTTCTTCGGAACCAGGTCTATGGTGACCTACGTCTGCACCCGAAGCGGAGCACCCGAAGCGGAGCTCCGGAAGATGACTCTCAGGACCTAAGACCGAGCACAGCGCATGCATCTGAGTGGAAAGGGTGGAAAGGGTGAAAGGGCACACCTTAGGGTGGTATGTAGTGTCCGGCTGGTATGTGGTGGTGGAGCCGTAGGGTGCATACATCCAAGTTTTATCTCCTACGGCTCCAGCCACATCTTTGGGTAGTTAGAGTTAATGATAGACACCCCTGGCACGCACCTAACTACCTCCTTAGGGGGTAGTTAGTTGGAGCCCTAGGGTAACAAACGGAATGGCAGCAGAATACTGGAAGGCATCATGCTGAACTCCGCAAGGTGACATGTTGAAGATGTGTCACTTTGGAGTGTTAGGGGAGGGTTGTGAGATGATCAAGGGTTACATCAGAAGAACTACTGACTCTGAAGACTCTGAATGATGTAGCAACACATCAACTTGCAAGGAAGAATCCAAACTGTCCAAACGTTGATACCAATTCCCCAGACCGACCGAGGTGCCGTTGCTGATCGGCAAAGATTCTGGAAGAGTCTTTGCATCGGTCACCAATGTCACATCCAGCCTTTTCACCACAAAAACACGTGGCGCGGGTAGTTTGCTTCTCTAGAATCCACATTAATAGGTGTGATTTCAATGGGTAGACTGGTCTATAAGCTGGGAGTCTCCCTATTGGAGCTACACACCCTTCTAAGTGCCAGCCTGGAATAAGACCCCAAGTCCTGAAATGCCATTGTTGTTCGGGGGGGAGAACCTCTGAATAGACCCCGGCGCCATCACAACTTGCATGGAGATGGGAATGCATGTCTTCTAATGGTGAGGTCAAAAAGGTCAAAAAATGCGGCAAACAAACATCAAAGACCCATGTGTTCACTGGAGATCCATAAAGATCAGCATCGCTTTGGGAAATGTTGAGGCCTCTTCTGATCTTTCCTGCCATCAACAGTCATTCTAGCCATGCTGGAGCCACCAAAGTCCCCAACCCATCCGGTCATTCCGGGACCTCGCCTCCTGGTCGGGGCCAATGAGGATCACATGCAGCCCCAGCTTCTGGACGTCGGAAGTGCGGACAAAACGGTCTTCGTGCTTTGCGTGTGCTTTGCCCGGCGTGTTTGAGTTGATTATACAGAAGCAGCTAGTGACTCATACAAACATGAGTCATTATATACCCCATTTTAAGTGCCAGTGCCAGTATGATGTCTAAAATAACATGTATTTAATTGACTAAAGTTGTGATTTGTAGGTTTCTATAGGTTAACGGTTGTACCTAAGTTGTTGAGAACGCGTGGTTCACAGCATATGCCTGAGCAAACCTGAGGAACTCAAGGGCAATGTGCATTAGCCCATGAATCTGTCGTGTCATACCACGCTGACTAGGGGTCAGCCAGCAGAAACGCTACTCACAAGAAAGAAGTGCACCCTTCCAAAAATGGTCCGCGCGACAAAAAGTGGGAACGTGAACATGCAAAATTTTCTGCGCGGAAACCCACACATCAAGAGTCTGCTGGCCAGACTTGAATGGTTGAAATTGGGTATAAGGCAGCGAACTCGGTCAACAGCAGCTTCCAAACTCCGCACCTCTGCGCCGTCGTAAGTAGGCTCAGAGTTTTCTTGCTTTCATGCATATTCATGACAAACATTCATGGGTTCTTATAGGAGGTCTCTCTTGCAAATCGGTAGTTTCACACAAAAAAGAAGGTATAACTCAAATTCAGAACCGGACATTCCGATCCCCGGTCTCCCCAGTCTCATCTCTTCCCAAGCACATCGACCAATGCCCTCCGGTGTCTGCATCTGGCATGCGTCCGTCCGTCGCGCGACGTGCGACGACCAAAAACCCACACCTGCAGTTCGGCGATGGCGTCATCCACCACTAGGTCGGCCTGCAAGAGATCCTGACAATCCTCAAGTCGTCGCCAGGGGCGTGACGGGGCGCGCGGTGTGCGGTGCGCGCGGGTTTGGACGGAGGGTTGTCCCTGAACAAGCAATGAGGAGGGCATATAGACCCGAAGAAGACCATTGTTGGAATATTAAACAGGTGGTGCCATCCACTTCCATTACTACATAATTCTACATACCTTCTCAGAAATCTCAGAAGGTACTTAGACCCTCCAAGCTGACATCAAAAGTCTCCAATCACCGTATCTCAGGTTCGGTATGTGGATCCATGGTTTGCAAACGCGGGAGTGTAGTTTGCTCTTTGTGCAGCCGGGGCACAATGGCGCAAATGTCCAGGCGCAGCTTCGCTGGACGGGGGTCGCGTTTGGGGGCCATGGCTTTCGGCTCTGTGAAGAGTCAGTCGTTCAGTCCGTCGTGTAGGAAGTACATGGCAACGTTCAGAGAGTCGCTCGATCCAAAAATCCAGAGGACAAATAATGTTTATTTCCAAGGTTGTCCACGCTATTCCTGTAGATGTTCCTGTATAGTCAACATAAACCTCTAGCTGTCTAAATTCCAGTGCAAGAAGTGACACACATCTGAACAAGTCACAAACGCCCTGAAAGCTCCCAGTGCGGCACATAGCCAGGAATGTCGACGTAATCCCATGGTTGGTTGCCTTCTGAGTGCTTCCCATGGGACTTGGTTGTGCCATGTTGTGCCCTCTTTTTGGAGCCGAGGTGGATTGAATGCGGACGCGGTTGCACTGTTGGGTTTTGCTATTTGTATCTATTTGTTGCTCAGCAGGGACCCTATCACTGCACGACGGGGGACTCGTCCGACAAAAAAAGATCTGCAAATGCACAGGTTTGACTGAGAGTAGGCACCCATGATTGTTTGACCCCCCTGTTCATTCCATTCCTCACACAACCAAGGTTGAACCATGTTGAAAATCCTGAAACATGGGACCTTGAAAGCTTCTTCCCATTTCTTCCCCCATATGGGTGTGTATTCAATTCGGGAGCCCCGCAGTTTGACCCCTTGATTAAGCAAAAATAGATGAACACCCAAGAAGTGTGTGGGTCTCCCTATTTACGTATACACACACACATATGATGTTTGCCAGCTAAATCCTCCATGTCATCGACATTGTCGATCCCAATCCACCCTGGATTCGAACAAAACCAGCCGACGTGAGCAGAACGAACGTGAACAGTCTCCCAGATCTTGACCCAAACTTGCACTCTGCAAGTAGGTAGTGTTTCCATCCAGTTTCCATGAATTCACATTTATCTTCAGAAGCTGGACAAGAGCGGACTTCTTCTCCAAAGGACTAAGGACTTCTGACTGTTTATGGGTGTGTTGCACCTACTGTTGCACCTCTATACCGACCCACCTTACCACAGCTTCCTTGCGCACCCGACTTCACCTCACCCGCCACCTCGCCACCTCGCGGAACGCCGCGTGGCTGCTCGAGCGCCGCCGAGCGGCCTGGATACTTCTCGCTGGCTGCGCGCAGCACGCGGCTTACCGTCTCGTCCTGGGCGTTTTCGGGTCATCTCGGACCACGGACCGCAGGGTAGAAACAAGAAGCTAGTAGGAACAAGTGCATCGCTACTAGTAACAGGTGC